CTTGCACGAGGTTGATAAATATATTTATTTTCGGCTAACGTTTCGACGTCTTCGTCTTCCTCAGAGCCAGTGATCCGAGTCGATGGTCCATGCTTGTTGTTCGCCTCGACGTTGCGTCTTCGCCTTCGTGTCGAGCCAGATCTTCCTCAGTGAGCCATCTTTTCGAATGAGGCATCCTCACTCAGTGATGCTCTTTTTTTAAAAACCCATCGACTCGGATCACTGGCTCTGAGGAAGACGAAGACGTCGAAACGTTAGCCGAAAATAAATATATTTATCAACCTCGTGCAAGCTTATCAAGAAAGAATACAAAATGGACAGAGAGTATAAAACAAACAAGACGCATGCTACGAAGAGTTCACTGTTTAAGGATCTTCTTTTTGAAACGTAAAAACAACGATATCTTCCTGTCGGCGTTCACTTGTGCATTGCATCGTTGTTGGCTTCATCGGTACTTTTTCGACGTTGTTTCCTACTACTACGACTTTTCTGTTGTCTCATCATCATTTTCTCCTGGAAATAATGAAAGTGTTAACATGTAGGTCCAGAAATTATTAAGATTCTAATTGTCTAAGGAAATAGTAAAGGTTTTTTATTTATTTCGGATCTAGTAGTTACATTATTCTTTAATAGTTTATAAAATTTCCAAAAGAACCTTGATAGCCATCACCTGCCTTTCGAGATATATATAGTTCCGCTTAACTAATTCCTTACGAGTAGAGTCTAGCTCAATAAGTTTTTGCTGCATATCACCTTGAATAATTGCATATATGAGAATTTAATGAATCCAGACCGCTGGTGTCTGTGGTGGGGAACGAACACACTATTACCCTTTCCGGGGACTAACGCGCTCACCACCACACCATGCCAGTCCTTCGCTTCGCCTGTCTCTCTACCGTGTTATTCACCTATAGGTCTAGGTCAATGGGTAAATATCTCAATAACATTATAGTTATTTTTCACATAATACCCTGCCATTGGAAAAATAGCAGGCAGTAAATAAAAATTCACAGTATCTTTTTATGCGTTAAATTTCCACTAAAAATATAGAATGTTGGTCGAGAAACGCAGTTAAGCACTACATTGCCCTCAGGCTCCGAAGAATGCGAAGTAGTCGAAACGTTGACCGTTTGAAACCAATACATGTGTTAACAGCCTTGAATTCTTAGCTCACCAAGGGTAGGCTTGTGAATTATAAGGAATCAGAACATTTCCGAGGACGCTTGTTAACGGAATAGATAGATGAAGATTGTAAATAAAAGCTGTAATAAGTTGTTGACAGTATGGTCTTCAAAATGATGATAGCTATTGGATATTTAACACCGTCTGAGTCTAACAAGATTTAAATAACCAACCTTCCATATTTTTACCAGCATTCTTCACACCTTGTAGTTAGTTGCATAAGGGTTTTGGACCATATCTGCCCACAGAATTTTAAACTACACTTAATAATCTCCACATCAGGTTTGTTTATAACTTTAAACTATGTGGACATGACCGGTAAGACATTATAGTACCTTAGATGGCATGATCGTCTTCATGAATTATGCCGACGCTAACATAATTCGTTGTTTTTCTTTGGCGATCGTCGACCATCGAGATGTATGAGACCATGGAAACGTCTGCGAGTACTATTTTATGGCCTATCCTTCACATCCATCCGTGACTGGAGCAGAATGACGTCAGCTGCAGACACTTATTGTGCATTTGTGGTCGCCTTGGAAGGAGTTAGCATCTCTTTGGTATTCAAACCACCTTTTATCTGTGTGACATTTTATAGCTGCAATATTATATAATATTTCGCGATATATTTCACACTGTTCCGAAGACGGAACATTAGTGGATGTTCTCACGTCTGAGTCTAACATGATCTGGTATCGTCAAGTACAAACGATAAGGAATAAAGCCCGATATTGATGTCCCATACATTCGGCTTTATCATAGAATGAATAAATGCATCTTCTCCCTATACAGTGACTTCTTTAAACTTAACGATATATCAAATCAGTTCTCTTGTCCTTTTAAACTGATCTGATACCAATTGTCTAACCAATGATAGATGATGGATGATGGATGATGAATTTGCTTAACCTGTGGCGTATGGTCGATTTAGTAACCATACAGGTGTTGCAGCTACTACATTTCTTAAGCCCTAAGCGCCACAACTACATTTAAAATGTCATTTCTGTAATCTTGAAATGAACATTACTGAAAATTGTCCACTCTATGTCCCTCCTTTATCTTCAACACATTGTTTCTCAAGAAGGTAATGGTGTCAGCAAAATGAAAGTCTGATGGTCACTTTTCTTTTAAAAGTAATTCTGTGCTGGCTTCGTCAAAGCGCACTAAAATTGTTATCCTCTATAATGTGGCAAAGGGCGCGTCTGGCGCAGTGGTTAGAGGCGCTTTCGTGGAATCGATCCCCGCACCCATGGCCCACCAAGCCTTCCATCCTCCAGCGGTCCGCAAATCGGTATCGGTAGGCCAACGCGAGCCACTGTATAGACTAGATATGCATTCAATCACCTCTAAACGATACTTAATAAAGTCGAATTCATGGCGCATCCCTCAAGGATTGATCAATGCCGAGAGGTTTATCCTATATCTTCTATAATATGGCAGAAGCAACTTCGTAAAGATTGCCATTGTCGTGATCTTTCCCTTGGAAAAAGTGCGACAATAGAACTACATCTATAATTCTCATAGTAGAGTTGTGATGATAGTTGCCCAAGATTTTGATGAAGTTCGTTTCGACACTATGGAATGCTTTTTTATAGTTATTAGTGAACCTGACTATATTTCGCGTGTGTTTCGTATAGAATCGGAATGAAAATTCACTTGAATTGGCTGAGCCTCATCCATGGCGTGTGTAATGGTGATTTTTCATAGCACACAGCAATCAAACTGAACTGCACCTACGATGATCCATTCGATTGCTTTTTTCAGAGGAACGGCAGTGCGCGAAGTCCCCCGCTAATCTCGAGTTATTTTGGATTGATTTCTCCCAAATGGGCTTTTGAGAACGGATATGGGGGTTGTTGAAGGAACAACTATTGGTGAAATATTCTCACGTTGATTCTCAACCATAACGAAATTTAGTGGATCGCCTTGGCATCATTTGTAGAGTTCCATATCCAATAGTGATTCATTTATTCCTGAGAAGTAAGGTACCATATAGAAGCATGCAATCGGTGGGTGTCAAACAAGACGGTTTCCATTCTTGTCATGGTGTGTTATCCCAACATTTCCGTTTTCTGCACTTTTTTCCACTGCTTTCTTTCTATGCTAGCGTTCAAGTCTCTGGAAGGAAATTTAAAAGAAAAACGTTTCATTATGGATCACCTTCGGCTAAACGCATCTATAATAATCTCAACCCTTTTATTTACTGCCTTTTTCTTTTTAATGGCAGGGTATTTTGCGAAGTATAACTCGTATATAATACTGAGATATTTGCAAAACTCCGGACCGCAGATGCTCCGGGACCCGGATGGTGTGGTGGTGAAGTGCGCTACTCCCCGGTAAGGACAATAGCGCGCGTTCGTTCCCCACCGCATACACTTGCGGTCCGGAGTTTTGCAAATATCTCAGCATTATATACGAACATCTATAATAATTCGTCCCCAGTGACTGCACAGGTTTGTGAGTAGCAGACGATGATTTATTTCAACAGGTAGAATGGAGAATGAAGATGGCTAAAAGAGCTGATGGGATCTCAGGTGAGTCGACAAAATAGGTAATGGGTGAGTGTACTGCTATGCCAATCTGCTAAAACTTCGTGACGAGATTTTCCGCACATGTAGTAAGGTCAAGTTAATTGGCGCACGTCCGTATTTTTGTACCTAGTCTCCTGTAGTGCGATCAAGCTAAACTCGATGTAATCTACGTCCTTAAAAAGAGCTGTAGATAGGCTTCACAACAGGTTATTTTTGTGGGCTAGAAAAAAGGCTTGGAAGGGTTTCTGTCGTGTGTCATTGACATGTTGTTTTGATTAGGCACAGATGAATTCATTCGTATACAGCAATTCGATCGTTTGCGCAGCGTTAGCTTTAACGCTTCTCGTAATAAACAAAAACGGCCATTGTGCAGAGCCCTAAGGTTGCCATGTGGTTTTGTCGCATTCCGATTAGGTTTATTCTAGTACCACAGGACTCCTGATGTAGATTCACATTTACATGGGTCTTCTGGTAGTAATGTTGCAACGGAAATGATTTCTGTTGATTGCTCATCTCTTTTTGAATTCATGAAACGGGTTAAATATCGAGTTATTGCGATATAGGAAGTTAAGAAAACGAGAGGGAACATTTTTCATCTTTTGAAAAAGGATGCCAGAGCTAAATATCGGAGGAGCTGGTATTTCTGAATTTTCAGCGATCGTTTACTTATAAAAGTTGCTGGGTTTTTGAACAATAAACAGTCATTTCAACATCAGCAATTTGTGAACCTCAGCAATTGAACAGAGCTGGGGTCAATTGTGTTAGCTCAAGAATATAAGGTATATGAGAGGACTCTAAAAACACTAAAACTATTAAGCACCATTTCAAACCAAAATATGGCTGGGCGGAAGAAAGGTAACAACTACGTCTAAGAAAAACTTTAGGTTATTTGAAGTTATTTAGGACAAAGGTGAAAGCGGCTTCGTAGGAGAATAGAAGTGAATTCAGCCAGTGTTCTCGTTGCCAACATAGTTTGCGATTCGGACTACTAAAGATACGAGTTAGCTCCTTCGTGAGGTTACGACTTCACGACAACGCTTATTTTATCAAAACCAACGTTATTATTATGGTTGAGTGAGTATGCAAGCGGAGATATTCGTGGAGATATGTCGAGTCCCGTATTAAAGTGAAGGCGAATTACTTAACTACGATGCGAGTACTAAAACTGACCAAAAAGTTGGGCTTGGTATAGGCGCAAGTTTGCTCGACGACAATGTTGAGTTCTCCGCTGGTCCATAGCTAAGAATGTCCTACACACAGTGTCGATTAAGAAGTAAGGAACTTAGTCTAGAAGAAAATGCTTCCTACTTGGGTGAGATTCACCGAGACTTCTTTGTTTTTCAACGTTTTCATGCCACTTATGGCTTGCTCCTCAAACACTTTTAATTCTTTCGCCAGTTTTTTTATCGTCGGATATGTCGTCATACTCAAAGTTTATAGGAAGCGGACTTCTTCTCAGCTTGGGAGACCCTGCCGGACTGATGAATCTCCCCGCTGTAGATCGCAGTCCAATACTTAGACAGGAACACCTCCCAACCACGATGAGGTGCTAAACAGTCCAGAGGGGTATTGTTTACATTGATAGTTAATATCTCCACGAGAATATGCATTGATTTCGATTCACTATTTGGCAGAGGAAGAATAGGAATTCTGCGCACCACAGATAATTCGTGATAGAGAATGTGTTAGCATCGAAAAAAGCAGTAAAATAAAGTTAAATAAATGTACGGTGGATCAATGTGCCATTTCCTTCAGGTGGAGGAATGAATGATCATAATGCGTAAGCGTAATACCATTTATACTTTCCCTAACTTTTTATACTTCTAAATTCAACACTTCGCCTTCGCCGAATTTAAAAGCATTTCCTCGTAAACGTTAACGAACTCACTGCATTATTAGCTTTGTCGAGGTCCTTTCGAATTGTGTCGTTGATAACCTTGTCGAACCACTAGATGAGAAGGGTGATCTTGGGTCTATTTATTTATGTGATCTTATAAACTGATCTTCTTAAGCTGACGCGAGGTTGGTACAGATCTTCGTTGTCGTTGTCGTTGTTGTTGATGTTGTTGGTCGATGGCTGACGTTTCGGCGACTTCACCTTCCTCAGAGCCTGGACGTATTTTATATTGGAATATTTTTATTATTCGGTGGAAAAAAGGGTTAAAAGACCAGTCCCGCACGTAACATCACGGCTCTGGGGAAGGCGAATTCGCCGAAACGTCAGCCATCGATCAATAACATCAAAACAACGAATAGCCTATCCCCGCTAGATGCGCGGCGACCAGCATTGCTGGACCTGTGCCAAATACCGCCTTCTCCGGAAGCATATAAATGGCCTCGTTAATTGTCATCGAGGATCGCCCTTGTCCAGGTTCGTCGACTATCCAGGTTGAACCCTGCCAGGGTTAACCCGCTGTTTAGATCCGTACCGTATTCGTCTCGTGTGTCACTAATGTAGGTTATTGTAGTTGTTAAGTCATACAGCACGTAGTCATTATTTTACATTAACTTCATCATATCATCGTTAAATGACAGTTGCGAATTGTACATTAGTTTAGCATCACCGTCACTACATAACGCTTTCCATCGGCCAGTGTATCCTCATCGTCATCATCCTGATCCTCATCCTCACGTCAATGTTCATTGCGGCGACTATCCTCAAATGCGTTCTGTCTGAAACGTCGTTGGTGGAATGTACCATTCCTCTCACACGGTATGCCATGCGTGCAAAGCCACTAACCGGCCAACTTATGCTGTGTATTTGTTAAGCCGCTATAGGCTTATCATTTCTCAGTCGTTATCTTTCTGGCCTATAATCTCTTAGGCAATGGTGGAACCCACCGATGTTCAAACTTCACGTTGCAGACATATCGTTATCCAAGAGCAGCCGCTTGACCGTGTTCCGCAGATGTCTTTTCTCGTTCGTAGTCACTTCCACCATCGATGCTTAGGCAACTTGCTATCCTCATCGATTAATGTGCAAGTGCACCCAGCCGCTCTACATACGATCTCTAGCTTAGCCTAATGCAGGGCTCGTCTGCATCTCACTCTTCTGTTGTTCTAGCCCTCGGCATCTGGGCCACTGTACGCGCCAGTGCCGGCGCCATCATTCATATCCCTTTACTTGTCATTGTTATCAAGTTGCTGTTGTCATAGTACTAACGTTGTAATAGTATTATTTACAATACTCTTATGCCTTCGTAAGCCTCACTTTAGTAGTAGGTACAGCACCTCATAGCCTTGTACATGCCTTATTTGTGTGCCAGTAGTTTTTCCGTCGATAGATATTACTGTTGTATTGAAGTTGCATTTATGTATATAAACGGTTTAATTACCCAAGTTCGAGGTATTGCCCTGTGACAACTACGAAAAGTCCCGCGTGGCATTTTTCTCACAAAGTCGACCATTCTGCTAAAAACTAATGATTATTCGGTGCCGAGAACTGACTCGAAGGCCTATTTTCGACTAGCAACTGCAATACAGATGTTTCTGGATCGTCTACGTACTGCGCAGCCCAGTAGCGCGCACGTGATGGAGTCCTTCGACGTTACCGCGCTTTATACAAACGTATCGAATGACTCCGCAAGGCAAGCCATATTCGAACTACCTATGCAAGACGAAGAAGAAATAAACATGTATGGCTTCAAGATAGAGCAGTTGATGGCACTCTTAAAAGAATGCTTAAACTGCTCGAGGTAATGGCATTCAAACATTATTATACCATTAATATGCCGCGCCGCACCGCGTCTATCCGCGGCTGAGGGAGACAGTATGCTGAGGTGGTGAGGGTTACAGACTGGCGGTGTTTCGGCCAAGCTAAGATTTTAACATTATAGCGATGAGGAGCATTTTAGTGGATCGACGAGGGCTGTAAGTTACATGAGCGTTGACGGTGCTGTGGACAGTGAATGATGAGTCATCTACGGAACACAGTCAGGCGGCTGGTCGTGAATAACACTATGTCAGCAACGTGAACTTTGAGCATCGATGGGTGCCACCATTGCCTAAGGGTAAGGGCCAGTATGATGAATGGCTACAAAACTGATAAACCTATAGCGGCTTAGCAGAATACATAGCATAAGTTGGCCGCTTAGCGGCATTGTACGCATTGCGTACATTGCGGGAGGAATGATACATGCCACCGATGGCGTTGCAAACAGAACCCATTGTGAATTTCGACTATAGCCTCAGCTTAACTGGGTTCAATGCCGATGTGGGCTCTCCAGATCAATCTCGTTGACGGGTGATTGCTGATGGCACTGGGAAATTGAAAACTAGCAGAGAGATAGGTGAAACGAACGACCCGTATGGTGTAGTGGTGAACGCGTTAGTCCACGCAAAGGGTAATAGCGCGTTCGCTTACCACAGCGGACACCTGCGGTCCAAAGTTTTGCAAATATCTCAGTAACATTGTGGTTGAAAGAATTGTCTTTTATAGCCTTCAAAAAATCACGCCTTAGTCTTCGATAACCTGTATCTTAAAGTCAGGGATTACCAGTTTTTAGTTAATTTTATTCCGAACAATGACTTTTAACACTCCCGCGTCGCTAGATACCTATAGGTCTCGCAATGGTTTTTCGGCAGTAGCCGCTACAAGTCCATTTTTCTTTCTGATGATTTATTTTAGCACGTAGAACTACTTTCCCACACTTTCTGCTGTCAGTTGTTTTGTAGGGCATTTGCCAAGAAAACCTCTATTCTGCACTCTCAAATACACAACAAGCCGTGTTCCAGAGGAGCTAACTCATTAGACTTTTGTTGCTAATCAACCACTATTTCAAACCTGATTGCTAGTGTGAATGACAGTTGCCATAGAGGGTGAGCGGCTACGAAAGCTACTTAAATAGAGATTAATAAGCCGTAAAATACTTCCAAATGCTGAGAGCAATGTGTTTTCATGATGGACCATACAGTAAACGGCATAATAAACATCGTTAATAACCACAGAACGTAAGAGCAAAGCCTTTTCTACAGTGCTTTTATATTCACAATCCAGGAAGACCTTTCGTCGTCGAAAAATTATTGTTCATCCACACAAATCCAGCAATCCCATGAAGGTTGTAAGCCAGGCGTTATCGTATCCGCAACAAACCCAAGAATAGGCGTCGTCGCCAGAGTGTTAATACGTGCTAATACCTGCTTGCGTAATGGTAAACGCCGCCATTAATTTCGGATGAAATGAATTGCGTCCAACCCACATCGGACATTAGGTTTTCAACCTAAAAATCAGCATGAAGGCAAGCATCTTATGAACCTTACCTTTTATCTGCTGGAAAACACGTTTCCACATCAGTAATGTTTGAAGATAAACACGGCCGCGACTATATAAAGACGATTTCTGACAGTGTCTATCGTTGTGGTCTGCAATTCCTCCACATATATCTGGACTGCAGTTTGAGGTTCGTTGCATACTTCACTTATTATCTACCGCTGCTCAATTCTTGAATCTCTGTGTCGTTAAAAGACTCCTCTCAGATACTACTTTCTACTTCTACTTCTTTACTTGTACTTTTACTTTTGTAATGCTGAGATATTTGCTATTTGCAAAACTCCGGATCGCAGGTGTTTGCGGTGGGGAACGAACCCGCTATTGTCCTTTCCGGGGTGTAACGCGTTTACCACCACACCATGCAAGTCCTTCGTTTCGCCTGTCTCTCGTCTAGTTCTATCTATCAGTCCCATTAGCAATCACCCGTCAACAGGAGTGATCTGGGGAGCCCATATCGGCGTTGAACCCAGTTAAGCTGAGGCTATAGTTGGAATTCACAATTTTGACTTTTTATGTACTGTCTTTTACTAGCTTTCACGGCAGGGTATTGTTTGTGAATATATTGATGGCACTGATCGATAGAACTAGCTGAGAGACAGGCGAAACGAACGATCCGCATGGTGTGGTGGTGAACGCGTTACTCCCCGGAAAGGGCAATGGGCGTTGGTTCCCCACCTCAAACACCTGCGGTCCGGAGTTTTGCAAATATCTCAGCATCATTGTGGTTGTTTCACAAACAATACCCTGCCAAGAAAATTAGTAAAAAACAGTAAATAAAAAGTCAACATTACTAAAAAAAAGCGTTTGAACACTTGCACTTAAAGATAATTGTCCTACTACTTAACACCTTTCTTGCTTACGAATCCCAACATTCCTTTGAAGCTGTCCGTCTGTTTCTGCCCCTCGTTCTTTCGCACAGTTTATTTTGAGAAGAAAAGCGCTATCGAATGAAACTTTTACAGATGCGAATCATTATCGCCATCTTCATTTGTATGCCGTACTGTGTAATCAGCGATCCACCAGGATGTTGGCGATCGAAAATTGTCGTGATAAAACGCGAATACAAGGATCGCATTGATAAGCAAAAGGCTGCCGTAAACGCCATGAAGGACATTTCTGGCTATCTCAATTCTGAAATAAGCGAGGATATGGTTCCCAAATTCCAGGTATGGTATATTGTGATTTTTGTAAGAGCAGTTCGCGAATGAGCTACCTTAAATGAGACACATCGCGTAGGAAAGATTTTATCGGCATTTTTTTCTTTTTTGAATCCTATTGAAATCTCCCAAAATATTGCTCAATACAAAAGAATTTGAAATGCGTGTGTGGCGCAGTGGTTGGAGGCACCACTGCAACACACACGTGGAATCGATCCCCGCGCCCATGGCCCACCAGCCTTCCATCCCTTCGGGGTCGACAAATTGGTACCAGACTTGTCTGTGAGGATAGCTGCACCGGCTCGATATATCGTTAGGCCATCGCGAGTCATTGTAAAGGCCAGATATGCATTCAATCACCTCCAACGACACTTAGTGAAGTCGAGTGCATGGCTCATCCTTCAAAGATTGATCAATGCCGAGAGCTTTATCCTTTCTTCAAAGGAATTCGGATTCAGCTTCTTTTAAAGAACACATCGAAGAGTGGACAGTGGAAATTGGTTAGAAAAAGTACATGGTTGGACGATGTGAACGGCAATTCATTTAGAACTACGGGTACTCGTATTACTCCACCTTCACAACCTTCGCCGTNTACATGGTTGGACGATGTGAACGGCAATTCATTTAGAACTACGGGTACTCGTATTACTCCACCTTCACAACCTTCGCCGTAGTAGGCGTAGAAGCGAAATCGTTTGATATTCGCGCAAAATTGGAGGTGAGCTCTTAAAATTGTTTATGGAGGTGTAAGAGAGCAACAATATTACCACCTTCAGAACAATTCCGCTTTTTCCAGTTCTCCTATGTGTCATCCGGTAACTATGTCGAATATGTGAGGATATCGTTTGATGAAAATGGAATATCTGCAATTGTCCGGGATAAGACAGCAACATTACCGTCCCCCTGCAAGGAAAGTGAATATCTGAACTCGCTGATCTTTCCACTGAATGCAGAGCCGTCATGTGCTAATAAATAGTTGAATTTCCTCATTTCGAATTTTCTTTCTTTTCGAAATTTCGAAACAAGGGAAATGATTGAAAAGTTTCAAGGCAAGGATGGATGACAATTTATACCACAGAAAGTTCGTTTCTGTTCATTCATAAGCGTTAGGCAACGAGATCGTTACTGGTGAGAATTCGTTACAAACCACGCTATGTATGAAGGAAATTATAAGAAGATAATACAACGAGAAACAAAAAAAGCAGAAGAAATGGCCTTCAAATCAGGGATGTTTCAAACGGGCCTTCACCTCTTTCCATTATGCACGTCCTCGAATGATCATTGTAGTAAGCCCTTTGTAGTCAACTGATGGCTTGTCGAAAACAGATTTCATACTGAGGCTGGTCAACTGATAATTGGGCACTCGGATGGCCCGTCTTCACTTGTTTTACCAGTCTCGAAGTAGTTTACATTTTCTCGGAGCGTTAATGGTTCTCCACTGGAGTGTTTTNGCCCGTCTTCACTTGTTTTACCAGTCTCGAAGTAGTTTACATTTTCTCGGAGCGTTAATGGTTCTCCACTGGAGTGTTTTGAAGTCTCGAGGTCAGTCTAGCCAAAGCCTGTCAGAAGTCGCTACCACCACAACCCGACGCAGCTCTTCTGGATCAGAGGGAAATTTGCCACCATGCGACTAATTTGACACCAGAGGGATGGTGGATGCTGGTATTGGTTTACTCCTAGCTAGGCTTCCTGATCGAACCCCCGGACTCATTCCCAACATGAGACCCTGCTGGGTGGATGAATCCCCAATGTACATGGCAGTCTGGCGCCCAGGAACACCTCCCAGCTATAATGAGGCGGTAAACCGTTGGAAGGTGAGTAAATTTTATACCTTATATTGTGAATTAAATTTTATGTGATCGCACTACAGTGAACAAAAATCAGGAAAATCGATATACGCCAACTAAACAACAGAACCCATGGATCCATGGAGAAAGGCCCCCTCAAGAAATGTCGGCGGCATAGGCTTCGTCGTCCACCCGTCCATCTCGTTGACTCATACGTGATCCTTTCCCCTCGCATAGCCGTCCTCCGTCTTCAACTGTTGCATCGTAAGAAGCCCACAATCATCAACTGCTACTCACCGACCGGTGTAGCTGATGAGTACGAATTAAATGCGTTCTACTATCAGCCGGAGGAACTCATCCACAATGATAAAGCATATCATAAATTTGTTGCCGGAGACTTTAACACCTGAATAGGAAAGGCCAACGACAGCAAAAGCAGGATCAGAAATTTTGGATTATGAGAAAGAAATGGGAATGGGAACCGTCTCGCAGGTCTCCTGTCTGCAGCACGTCTCTTCCATGGTAACTCGTTTTTCCAGAAGAATGAAAGCCGCCACTGGACATGGGAGTCTCCTAACGGCATCACTCATGCGGAGATCGACCACATTCTGCCAAACAGAAGATGGTGCCTAATTGACACATCAGTAGTCCCACCATTCTGTACTGGTTCCGATCACCGCCTGCTTAGCGCGGATTCGACTCAGCCGCAAGCTGAAAAAGAAGTCTCTCCATCGACGACGAGGAAAAACTCTAGTTGTATACGGCGAGAACATTCTGAACGAAGTCCTGTCCAAACGTGACTGGCAGATTAAAGAAGACCCGACTGGAGACTACGATCTTCTTGCTGAAGGACTGAGTAGCTGTGCCGAATATGCCCCAGTTCCTCAAAAAAGAAGATCGGATCGCATCTACACCGCTACTAAGCAGTTGCTCCAAAAGAAAAGGAAGCTGAAGCTTGATCCTACTGCAGCACGTTTTACACGGATAGCAATAAATGCCGTGCGCAGAAGATCGGAAAAGTCTGGTATCAATTTGCCGAATCTGGAGGGATGGAAGGGTTGGTGGGCCATGGATGCTGGGATCGATTCCACGTGTGTGTGGCAGGGCGCCTGCGAGCACTGCGCCGCACGCGCACTCTCGAAAAGACATGTAAACCTAAACTGTAGACAAAACAAAATATGGAGGATTAGGAACGAAACATTCGCATAACCATTCGTCATTTTTATAATTTACCAGCCATAAATAATTCGTATTCTACGAGTCAGTTCGGCCAGAAGCCTGCAATCAAGTGACAGGGTGACAGTGACAGGTATATAGGAGGCGGTAAAGAGTCGCCTCCAACATATAAGCTCCATGTCTACTCTGGGAGAGCCTGACAAGCTATCCGTGAGTATACCCAGTCCCCAGAACCCAGCAAGCTATACGTAGGTATCAAAATGATAAACACAGTAAAAAAAAAACGGGCCTCATTCCCCCGAAAAAGCCCACAATTTCGCAACGTTGGGTAAGACGAGTTCGGAGAGGTTGCTAAGATCTCAGGGCCAACGGAAGCTGCCTGGATTACAAAGAACCAAGATGAAGATCTGTACCTACAGTGCACGTTCACTTGCATCCGAATACTCCATAGAAGACTTGAACAGCAAACTGGGACCTATTCAGTTCACTAGACGGCTGTTGGGAAGGGGCCGTTGTCGATAACATCGACGAAGGATACGATCGGCTTATTCAACATCTTCAGGTTAGCGCTATGAAAGCTGAGAGATCGAAATTCATCAAGAGACGTCTGTCTCCAGAACCACTCGAGCTGATACGCCAACGCGGAATCGCACGAGTTGCAGACAACCGCCAACTAACGTCCGAACTTGCAAAACAATGCAGACAGGCGATAAAAGAAGATCTTAAAGAGAGAAGAGCAGCACAAATAGTCGAAGCTGCAGAGGGTGGGAAAAGCATTCGCAAAGCCAACTGGTGCTTCGCCAATTACAAAACCAAAATGATTGCACTCCAGCTCCCAGACGAAACAGTTACAGCGTCCAAAAAGACAATGGAGAAAATCATTCACGAATACTACTCAGATCTCTTCGATAGCCACGTCCACCTTCCGTCATATGAAGTAAAGGAGGATGGATATGTTGTATCAACCGTTCTCCCTTCCGAAATCCGACATGCCATTTCGTCGGTGAAAAATCGAACAGCATCAGGTCCAGACAGGATAAGAGCAGAACACCTGAAGAACCTTCTGCCAGTCCTTGTAAACACACTGGCTGGGTTCTTCACACGTTGCCTGTCTGAATACAAGGTCCCTACTCAGTGGAAGACCAGCTGGACCGTGCTATTGTTCAAGAAGGGCGACCTCCACGATATCGGCAACTTTTGCCCGATCTGCTTGCTGTTTGTCCTCTACAATCCCTTCGCTCGAGTCGTCCTGAACAGGATTGACAGAACACTGGACGAAGGACAGCTATTTGAGCAGGCAGGGGATTCAGTACAATAGACCACATCCACACCATAACAAAACTATCGCGTATCACGAGAGTACAGAAGACCGCTGTGTCCCACTTTCATTGATTTAAAGAAGGCCTTTGATTCAGTTCAGATAGAAGCAGTCATGGAAGCTCTTGATAGTCAAGAGGTCCCTACTCAATACATAAAGATTCTTCGTGAGCTGCACAGAAATTTCACGACAGAGATATCACTAATATGCAACGATATTAACATTGGAGTCAAAAAGGAGTTAGGCAAGGCGATACCATCTCGCCAAAATTATTTACCGCCTCACTCCAGAACGTTATGCGAAGATTGGAATGGGGCAACATGGGAGTGAAAATCGACGGTCGACAGTTACACCATCTTCGCTTTGCTGATGACGTCGTCCTTATAACACAAACATTAGCAATGCGGAGCGTATGATTGACGACTTCGATAAAGTCTGTGGAAAGATTGGTCTTCGACTAAATTTTACAAAAACGATGTTCATAAGGGACGGATTGGTTTCGTATGCGTTATTCATGCTCAACGAAACGAATATTTCCGAATGCTCCAGTTATGTCTATCTAGGTCGAGAAATCAGTATGATGAACGACTTTGCTCCAGAGCTGAGCAGAAGGAAACGAGCGGCCTGGGGAGCTTTCAAGAGCATCGCGGATGTAGTAAGGAGAACAAAAACACCCGACTCCGTACCCACCTTTTCGAATCAACGGTACTTCCTGCCCTAATGTATGCGTCAGAAATCTGGTCGCTTCCTAAGGAGAACGAAAGGTCACTCAGCGTTATCGAACGCGCAGTCGAAAAGACGATGTTAGGAGTATCCCGGTTCACACAAGTAAGCGATAGTATCCGAAGCTCCGTCAACGATCATGAATTATAGATGCCGTTTTGTACGCCAAACAGTCGAAGATAAAGTGGACCAGGCACGTAATGCGTATGAATGACAATCGATGGATAAGAGCTCTTAGTGACTGGATTCCTCGGGATGTCAAACATACTGCGGGAAGACCACCGACCCGATGATCAGAGTTCTTCATAAAGAGCCTTGAAGAAAGATATGATGCTCGACGAGTCCCTAGAGCGAGCAGAACTCACTGGGCTACTCTTGCACGCGACAGGGAAAATGGAAGATTTACTGGAGTCCACTCGAGTCACTCGAGGATCAACGGGGCTACAGGTGATACAGGTGATACCTATCCGAGGAGCTGCAATTTCGTATGCGTTTGCACATGCTGGTGGTTATTTGAAACGTGATTGTTACAGGCGCCTTTTTTGTGTGAAAGATGTGAGAGGGGAGGTAATGAACTAGTACATTTTTAGTATTTGCCTTTTCGTACCATTTTATAATGTATCCGTTTCAGGATAAGTTAACTTGAACGTTCAATAATGAAAGCCAGCTTTCTCTCGGTTTCTGTCGGGTGCAATTGTTATACTCTGACGGCTTATTAAGTAACTCAAAACATTTGTCCATTTCCTCTTGCGTGGAGAAAATAACAAAAAATCGTCTATGTACCTGTAGTAGAGTTAAGCTGCCTTCTTAAGGTTTACCGCCTCATCGTAGCTGGAAGGTGTTCTCGACGGGACATGTTGGTAAATGAACTTTGAGTTGAGAGATAACTTTTGGTTTTAAACCACCATCCTTTGCCATTTTTACGCACTCGCCATTCAATTTTGGGTATTGTCTTCTGAAATCGTTCTCAGA